GCAGTCTTGGAAACTGAGTTGCTATGAGTCAGAATCAGCTCAGTGGAAAAGTTTTCTGTTTGAAGCATGAAAGGTCCTCAACTTTAAGTGCAATGGGTCTTCCCTGGTGGCTAGGTCCAAAGCCATCTCCCAGCTCCTTCTCTAAGTAGACCCCAGGGCTTGGCACACTTCCTTAATTTTTAAAAAACCTACTACAACCCTCTCCGCTAGGTCTTGGGATTTCTGTGCTTGAGATAAGCCTCCTTGTAAGGCTATGAAGCCTTCTCAGAGACTTTGACAAGAGAAATACACAAAATGCAGGACTGAGGGGCTGGGGTTTCAAAGACTGACTGCTCCTCTCCCCGTCATCCTTCCCTGAGAATAATACGCTGATGGGCAAGAGCAGGCTAAAATGAATGAGGGAGCTCAATTCTGAAATATATTTAAAAACCAAAAACAAATGTATTTCTTTAAAGCATTTAGTAAGCATAAACAATTAGAAGGGGTGTGTTATTTAACTGTTAGCCCAATTTAACAAACTGTGAGGATCTGTGGGGTTGTTGTTAGATGCTGTTGAGTGACCCTCTGTATAAAATAGAACAAAACACTGCCCGGTCCTGCGTCATCCTCACAATTGCTGCTGCCCCTGTGCCAATCTAACTCATTGGAGGGTCTTCCTCTCTTTCACTGACCCTCCACTTTACCAAGCATGATATCTTCTCCAGGGACTGGTTCCTCCTGATAATATGCCTCAAGTATGAGAAAGGAAGTCTGGTCATCCTGGCTTCTAAAGAGCATTCTGGTTGTACTTCTTCCAACACAGATTGGTTTGTTCCCTGGTACTTTTAATATTCTCCAACGCCTTAACTCAAATGCACCAATTCTTCTACGGTCTTTCTTATTCACTGTCCAACTTTCACATGCATATGAGGTTATTGAAAATACCATGTGTAAAACCAAAAGTTCTCCCATGTAAACTATCATATAATTCACCATAAAACATTTTAAAAAATTTAAAAAATACCATGGCTCAGGTCAGACGCACCTTAGTCCTCAAACTGACATCTTTGCTCTTCAACACCTTATAGAGGTCTTGTGCAAATTTGTGTTGTACAGACCCAAAACTAGATGTGAGGGGCACAGTGAATTTGCAGGAACGAGGCAAAGCCCCTCATAGAAAAAGGCACTAAACTGAAGTGCTCTTACTGGGAAGGGGTCCCCAGGTGATGCCAATAGTTAACACGCCCAGCTGTTAATCCAGTTTGGAGGATCAAGTCCACCCAGAGGTAAGAGAAAAGCCTGGTAAGGTACCCGACATTACACAGTTCTGTGCTCACACATAGGAATCAGAATGAGGCAGAATCAACTCCTCAGTGCCTGGTTTTTTATTTTATTTTTATTGAGTAAAGGTTGGACTGAGGACTTATCATTCCAGATTCATTCTGATTCCTACATTTAACACCACTGACACGTCTCTCTCCTTGCTTGGTCCACCTGGCCTACCTTCCTCTCCAATTTCATCCTATCTTCATGGTTCCTTCAGACTGGGACTTCTGAAACATAAATCCTAATTGGTAGCAAAACAAAGAGGAGATCAATTCCCAGAACCCATGAAATAAGTGTGTAATCATGAAAGAGAGGAGCCCTGGTGGTACACTGGTTAAGCGCTCAGCTGACAAATGAAAGGTCAGATGTTCAAACCTACCAGCTGCTCCTCGGAAGAAAGATGTGACGATTGGCTTCATTAAAGGTTAAACCAAGTCAGGCCCCCCACATCCACTGACTTGATTCTCACTCTTAGAGACACATAGGGCAAGGTAGAACTGCCCCATAGGGTTTCCGAGGCTGTCATCTTTGCAGGAATGGACTGAAAGCTGCCCCTCTTTCAGTGAGTAGCTGAGCTCTTTAACCATGGTACCGCCAAGATTGGAGTGTTGGTATGGCACTGTAGGATAAAGCATTGGACAGCAAGTTCCAGTTGAAGTGCAAGGTTGGTGGTTCAAATCCACCAACTGCTCCTTAGAAATCCTATACAGGGTTACGTGAGACAACTGACTCAACAGCTCTTAACAACTACCACCACCACCAGGATTTGTTCTATGTTGTTGTTAAGTGCCTGAGTCGATTCCGACCCATAGCGACCCTGTATAGGGTTTCTGAGGATGAGCTGGTACGCTTGAACCTTGTAGTTCAAATGGCTTTGCAGTCTGGCACGTTAACCCACAGTGCCACACCAGGACTCCAGGATTTGTTCTATAGATTGTTGTTAAGTGCCATCCAGTCTGTTCAGATTCATAGCGACCCTGTATAGGATTTCCAAGGAGCAGCTGGTGGGTTAGAACTGCCAACCCTGTGGTTAACAGTCCAGTGCTTATCCGACAGCACCACAGTAGGACGCCTCAGGAATCTGTTTAGCAATTCAGGGTCAGAGTCTGAATCATCTCGTGGATGAGTGAGTTCTAAGTCACTTTAAGAGAGGAGAGAGCTTGTTTTTGAGCCTCAGGGGCCTTCAACTCGGCAGGTACTTTAAGGTAAATGTTACAGAGACAGTAACTGAGCCCGTACGCATTCATTCTCATCTCTTTGGATGGTGCTATTTTTGTTCAATTGTAACTTTTCCAGCAGCAAAAATAATAGGAAATGCCATTTCCAGGCCACCCCCTTTACGCTCCCCAGCCCCACACAAGCCAAACCCAGTGACTCATAGGGACCCTGTTTCCAAGACTGTAAATCTTTCTGGTAACAGACAACCATGTCCTTCTCCTGTGGTATGAACCACCTGTGATGCTGTAGGATAAGCATGGGACTGCTAAACACGCTAACTTTAAAGTCAACAGTTCAAACTCACCAGCCATTTTCAGAAACCCTATAAAGAGTTTCTATGAGGTAAAACAAACTCAAGGACACAAAACCACCACCTTGTGCTTAGCAAGCAGCTCAATGCTTAACTCACAGCGCCATCAGAAGTCCTGTCTCATCCCAAACCAAACAAAAACCTAAACCCAATGCCAGAGTCAATTTCAACTCAGCCACCCTATATAGGGTTGCTGAGACTATAAATCTTTACGGGAGCACACAACCTCATCTTTCTCCCGAGAAAAGGCTAGTGGGTTTGAACCACTGACCTTGCAATTAGCAGTCTAACGCCTAACCCACAGTGCCACCAGGACTCCTCTCCAGGCCCTTGGATGGGCACAGAGATGGCGAATTTCATCCTTGGATGAACCAACTCAATGACATACACCAGCACAGTAGGAGGTTAAAGAAACCGTCTGAAGAATTACCACCGGGACTCGCTGTGGCGCTGTAGGATAAGCCCTGAACTGTGAACAGGAAGGAAAGAAAAACCTTAGCTTCCCCAGCAAGTCACATCATAAATCATTTATTAACAAGTACAATGATTTCCTCATCTTTGGTTATCAAAAACAAAACAAAAAACAATTGAATGATCTGTTGCTGCTGCTTGTCATGAGACAGGTCAATATAAAAATGTGTAAAAGACCACACAAAGGTTTGTTTAATTACACATCTTGGCTTTGCATTTGGAAATGGATTTGCACATACTTAAAAACTTTCTTTATATAGATAGAAGTAAACAATACACAAATAAATTCGCTTGAATTTCAGAAGTCAAAACAAAATGGCAATGAATATGGCACTTGTTGGAGAAAGATATAAACAGACCCAATTAAGCAGTGAACGAAATTCTTTGAAAAGGTTTTCTTCTGACTCAATTGGTCCTGTTATTCTAGTGTGATGCTGTAGGATAAGCAACTGGACTGCTAACCTCAAGACCTCTAGTTCAAATCCACCAGCCGTTCCTCAGAAACCCTATATAGGGCCACTGTGAGTTGGAACTGACTGGACAGCACGTACCATTACCTAAAAGAAGCTATTTTGATAATGGGAATATAAAAGGCCTTATAATTCACAAAGTAAATCTGTATGCCTGTGATTGAGATTTTACTCCAAGTCTTGGATTATGGCCAAAAAGCTAAACATGATGTATCATTATTAAGGCATTTCTTTGAATTTGTAAGAAGTTAAAACAAGAAAACATTTGATCAGATCTCAGCAGAAATACTGGCCTTCGTATCTAATCATGAGCATGAATTACCCACACTCAGTACTATAGAAACATCAGAATCTGAAAGCCAGACAGAACCAAATCAGAGTGTGCCACATGGCAAAATTAGAAGTAGCTTAGAAAACCCTGACAGTTTAAGGTTTCCACTTTAAAAGCATCTTTATTGCATGTTCTCAGATGTCAGTGGGAGGTCAGGGGATGAAAAGATACCATCAAGCAGGGGCCAATGGCTTTATTACAGCACCACCCACTATTTCAGGATGAAAATCATCTGGAGAATTTGGAAATATCTTCATTCATAAAGTCACTATACAACTTCTTCCAGTCTCTTTAACGTAGAAAATCACTTTGTAATAAGCTCTCTACAGAAGGTTAAAGAAAGAACAATCACAAAATTGACAAAACAATTATATTTTTTACACACTGAAATTAAGACATGCCTGCACACTCGCGAGATCACTGATGAATTTCCAAGTGTTCACGCTGGCTTCCTTTTATAAGGACCACGGAATTTGTGTTTTCCTCTCCATCCTGGGTGTTTTATAAAATAAAATAATAAGAGGCACCCAAAAAAGGGAGGCCACACAGATTCCGATCTTGTGAAGATACAAACAAAACAGAAGTCAAATGATATGATAATAATAATAATAAATCTTATCAGTTTGCACGATTCTTTTGACATCTGTACCTTGGGGGCACTTAATGGCTTAGGTGTTTTGTCACTTAAATTGTCACACAGCACAGAGAGCTCCAGTGAAGGTTCTTTTCCATTATAGCTCAGCCAGGCACTGGGATAGAACACTCAAACACGTGGGGTCCAAGATCCACCTCTGGTATGGGCAAATACATCCCCCACAAAGGGCCAGGCATGCCCTCTCACTAGGAGGTGTGGCTGAGGGGGGCGGCTGTCTGCAGTCTCTGACCCTCCCATGAGTCACACCGTCACAGCCGGGAACATCTTCTGCTCACTGTTAGGGTGAGGGAAGGGGGACTGGGTCTGCCTGTAGCCAGCCTGCAGGCCATCCATGAAAGGAGGCATGGGGGGCAAAGGAACCGATTCATGTTGCACTGTGTACCCCACGTAGGGCGGGTGCAGGTACTGACCCTGGTGAGGCACAATCTGGGTGGCCTGCTGGCAGTTCAGCACAGAGAAGTTGGTGGGCATGTTGACATACACATTGTTCATGGTCCCCTCGGGCAAGCAGCAGTTGGTTTGTGACCTTGTGGGGGGGGCCCGGGCACCCGAGTTGGCGCTAGAGCTGGAGCTGGCGGCTGTGCTGGACTGGCGGGAGGAGGACCCCCGAGACGTGCTGGCGCTGGGGATCATGGGAATGGTCTCCATCAAGCGGCTGCCCCCAGGGGCTCGGCTCTGCTGGGGTTCCTGCTTGGGCCGGAGGCATCTGCAGCAACAGGCCGCCACGAGGGAGCCCAAGATGATGAAGGCGACAAAGACGGAGCCCACAATGAGGAACGGGACATAGATGGGCACTGAAGGAAAGAACAGAGACACCAAATCAGGGCGGAAAGGACTCAGGTGGGACCTCAGTTTGTTCATTTAAGGTTAACCCCCAAGATGCTCTGTCCTCTAGTGAGTGCTTAGTTAAGATGGCGCAAACGCTTAATGTGGTCAGCTGCAGTCCAAATGGTCAGGGGCTTCAGTTCATGGTTTGAGTCCATTAAGAGGTACCTCTGAAGAAAGTCCTAGTGAAAAGCCTCTATGGAACACAGGTCTGGTCTAGCGACACACGTTGAGGTGGCCTTGAGCTAGTATTGAGCCCAGAGCTAATGGATTATGGGTTGGGAGAAAAAGGCATGGTACTTCCGTTTCCCAGGACCCCGCAGTGCTAATGGGCATCCAAAACAATGCCATTCTCTTTCAATTCCACTTTTCCACCAACTTTTTGAATCCCTCACATATTCAGAGTTTGACTCATCATCGTAATATTGTTAAAGGCAAATATCCAATTTGGTTAAAAAATAAATTCCATAAGCAAATGGATTACATGTTTTAAGATTATTATGGTTCTAAAATTCCTTCCATATCTGTACTGCCCAAACTTCACATCTGTCCTAAGAGTTGAAAAAAGGCAGATGGGAAGAATGACTGCATCAGAATCGTGGTGTTGGCAGAGAATACTGAATATACCCAGGGGCTGCCAGAAGAGCACACTAATCTGCCTTTGAAGAAATACAACAGGATGCTTCTAGAAGTAGAATGGCAAGACATTGGCTGGCTCACTTTGACATGTCATTCGGAACAGACCAATCACTGGAAAGGGCTTCAAGTAAAGGTAGTAGTGTATTGTATTGTGTTTAAGTGCCATTGTGTGGGTTCCAGACGACCCACTATTGGGTTCCCAAGGAGCGACTGGTGAGTTGGAACTGCTAACACTGGGGTTCAAACCGACCAGTGGCTTATCCTACAGTGCCACACCAGGACTCCATGTGAAGTAGAGGGTCTGAGAAAACGAGGGAAACCCCCCATGGGATGGACAGACACCACAACTACAATGGACCAACAGCAGTATTACGCAGCTGATACCATGCATCAGCGTTAACTTGAGGACAAGTAACAACGAACAACAATGACAGATAGATGTAGGGTCTGCACAGAAAACAATGAGTAGAAATTCAAGTGTTTTGGGCTCCCCAGAAGGTTATTTCCACCCCTTACCATTTTTTGTTGTTGAGTTGTGCTACTAACCTCACAGTCAGCAGTTCGAAACTACCAGCAGTTCCGTGGGAGACAGATGAGGCTTTCTGCTCCCGGAATGATTTACAGCCTCGGAAACCCTGTGCAGGGTCGCTATGGGTCGGAACCAACTCGACAGCCCTTAACAACCATTTTTAGGAGTTCTGCATGGCAGCGTCAGTTAATGCGCTGGACTGCAAAGTCAGTTTGTGCTGCAAGGTTGGTGGTTTAAGCTCACCAACCTCTCCTCAGAAACCCTATACAGGGTTGCTATGGGTCAGAACCAACTCAGTGGCACTTAACAACAACCATTTCTTAAGGAACCCTTGTGAGGCGCTGTGGGTTAATGCGCTGGACTGCAAGGTTGGTTTGAACTGCAAGGTTGGTGGTTCAAGCCCATCAGCTGCTCATTGCAAACCCTATACAGGGGTCACTGTCGGAATCAACTCGATGGCACTTAATAACCCAGGACTTCAAGGGAATTCCTTGACTCTTTTATTGAAAAACGCAGGGCCAGGAATGGGCCTTACTCGTCTTGGCAAATGGAAGTTCTTTGGGAAGGAGACCAAGTCCAGCTTTCCAGCACCTTTGTGGCCACATACTGAGGATTATTATTTGGCTCCATGAGAACAAGGAAGTTTCTAATTATGCTCTTCCTGCCTACACGAACCTTCCTGGTGTCGTCAGTTCCCCCAAGCCGTTTTTGAAACAGAAAATATAGTATAGATTGTTGTTGTTAAGTTCTGTGGAATTGGTTCTACTCATATCCACCCTGTGTAGGGCTTCCAAAGATCAGCTGGTTAAAACCACCCACCTTGTGGTTCAAACTGACCTTGCGGCCCAGTGCTTTTTCATATAGTGTCACACAAGGACTTCGAAATGCTTTATAAGGACAACTGTGGTGGCTTCCGTAGGATAGGCAATGGACTGCTAACCGAATGGTCGACAGTTCAAACCCACCAGCTGCTCTGAGGGAGAAAGATGAGGCTGTGTGCGCCTGTAAAAATCTAGAATCCCGGAAACCCTATAGAGGGAACTGCCCCGTAGGGTTTCTAGGCTATATGCTAAGAGTCGGAACCTACTCGACAGCACTTAACAACAAATTTTTATGCATGTAGATTGCCTCATCTCTCTTCCCTGGATCAGCTGGTGGGTTGGAACCGATGATCTTCCTTTAGGTTAGCAGCCAAGCACTTTAATGGCTGTGCCACCAGGGATCCTTGTAAAGTGGGCACACTCCCTGCCAGTGGAATCTATGGACCCTGTCAGACAGAGCATAAGTGCTCCGCGGGGTTACAGAAACTCAATCGTTATGGAAGCAGGCATCTGCTGTCTCCTTCGGAGCAGATGGTGGATTCGAACCACCGACTCTCTGGCAGGCTGCCGGGAACTTTCATCACTGCACCACCAAGGAAAACAGAATGAAAAGATAATGACATATTCCCATCAAGGTAAGAGACACTGGCTGGTGAGTCTGTGTGGGTATTTGTGTTCTAAGCATACCATCGCTTCAGGCTAAGGAGTCCTGGTGGTGCCGTGCGTGAAGCGCTGGGCTGCTAATCACAAGGCTGGCAGTTCAAAGCCACACCAAGGGAGAAAGGAGAAGCTATCTGTGTTTGTAAATGTACAGCCTCAAAAACTCTTAAGGACCAGCTAGCTCTATCCTGTCCTGCAGGATTTTGGGTTTCAGGTTACCTAAGGTCTGGGTTTCAGGTTAACTAGAGTCTACTAAGCTTTATCCTTTGCATGCTATAAATACATCATTCTCTTAAAATTAAGAAACCAGCTCCCAAATATGTTCCTAAAGTAAACAGGCACAGTAAAGCTGAAAAAACAATAATAAAAAAAGCTCCAAACATGACAGCAAAACCTTGTTGAAATCAGTCTACGTTCACATAATGAATTTTTTGGTGGGGGTGGTGAGATGAACTCTTTGCAGGATTTTTAATTGGAAGCACAAATACCTACACAGGGTGAAGAATGCTGACCTGCTGTCGAAACGACTTCATCAGGCAGTTGTTCCCTGACTGCAGGAAGAAAGGGTGAGCAGCAGAGTGTTTATGGAAAATGAAAAAGGTTTAAAAGTAGCATGAAGAACACACCCAGGTATGACCCATGGCGTCACATAACAATCTGCTGCATACAGATCTGTCCAAAGTGGCTGAGGAGGCCAGGGTTACAGACTCAACACTGTAGCAACCCCGACTGTGGTTTCTCCAGCTGCCCTGCCCTGCGGTACTGGAGTTGTTACATTGGCACATTTTCTAGAACTGCTCTGGGATCTTTCTCTTTTCAGATTCAAGGCAAGACGGGGGAGGAGCTGTCTGCAAAGACAGCTGCACTGGACCGACCTGCCTGTGGAGTGGCCCTAGGAGACTAGGAGACGACTGTCAACACAGGAAGCCACTCACTGCCAGCAATCAGGTAGCTCAGGAGGTTAGGGAAAAAAACCTCTAGGTTAACAGAACCCAACATGGGACCTGTTGTCAGCTGAGTCATTTCGAGCCTGTAAATCTTTACAGGAGCAGACGGCCTCATCTTTCTTCCAACAGAATCTGCCTCCCTTGCCCTCCTCCTCTCCTTGCCACATGTTTACCACTTGACCTCTCGCTTCGCCACCCCAGAACTCACTCCTTACTCACACATCCCATCTTGAATAGTTGTACCTCAAGGCTGCTGAAAAGTGGAGGAAGTGGAAACTATCAAATTCTGTCCCAGATTCCTTTACTTGCCAACTCTGGCTTTGGCAATTGGGAAAAATAAAACAACAAAAAGGTAATTAAGGAGGAAAAAGAGAGAGAGAGAGAAACAAGGCGCAAAGAACAAGGTTGGGCAGATTCTGTTGTTACTTCTTGGTCAAACTGCACAGATCAGAGAGGCCTCGCCCACTGGTGGGGAGGGTTAGTCCTGGGATAGATAAAGGAGAGCTTTGTGGTGCAGAGACTTAAGCATCAGGCTGCTAACCCCAAAGCCTGCAGTTCAAACCCACCAGCTGCTCCGTGTTTGAAAGATCCCATAAAGACCAACAGTCTCGCAACGCTTTGGGGAAGTTCTACTCTATCTTGTAGGGTCGCAGTGAGTTGAAACTGAGTCCACAGTAGTGGGTTTGCTAAGTCCAGCACTAAAGGCAAATCCTTCCTTCTGCGGGGGTGGGGGGGGGGGCTTCACGGAAGTGCCCTGCTAGGCCCTCTCTGAAGGGGTCGCATTCCTAGGGTATCCCCTCCCTCAAGGTACCCCTTAGATGTAAATGGAGACAGGAGACAAGGGAGGGCACAGAGGGATCTGGACAGAAAGAATGTGCCCATGGGTTTGTTGGGAAGAACACTGCTATCAGATGGGGAAACTGAAGCCAGGGCAGTCAACTGGTGGCCCACTTCGCACCAATTCCTAGGTGGGCCAGAATTCAGGCTCCACGGATACTTTTCTCCAGGATTGGGGCTGGGGAGCTTGATAGTGCCCACATCTCTCCCCTTCTCCCAAGCCCCCTTGGGGACACATCCAGCTTGCCTAGTTCCCCTCTGGTCGCGCTCAGGCCTCGCCGCCCTACCTGCCGAGCCGTCGGAGCTGTCTTTGTCCGGCCGGCCAGGCTTGCCAGTGTCTTGCTGCCGGTCATTATCGCAACCGCCTTGGTCCAGTCGCGCCTCGGCGCTGGAGCAGCAGTAGCGCAGGGCGCAGCTGCCGCAGCAGATGGTGGCATCGCTGCCGTCGAAGCGCTCGGGGCACTGGAAACCGAGGCGCCAGACGCCCTCCGCGTCCAGCCAGCCGTGGCAGTACTCGCTGCCCGCCCGCGCGCCCGCCGCCAGCAGCGCACCCAGCAGCAGCGGCAGCAGCGAGGCGGCGCTCCCGGAGGCGGTGGCTGGCCGGCGGCCGCCCCACATGGCCCCACCCTGGGCGCGGGCGGCGTGGCTCTGGAGCGCCCCGGGAGGTCTTCCGGGAGTGCGGGGGGCTGCGGACCGGGCCACCTCGGGGGACGTCCCTTCTGCTAGGGCCACTGCGCTTTGCCCGACGTCCCGGAGCCTCGGACGCAGGCGGGTTGGGTCGCGACTCCTAAGCCATCGCAGACACTGTCCGGGGTCTGGCCCTCGGCGGGGTTGCTTTGAGGGGGGCCCCTCGCTGTTATCGGTGCAGTCAGCGGTTTCCCGAGGATTCACCCACAATGGGACGCTCCAAGTGCATGCCCAAGGAGATGGCTACTGAGCCCGCTAAACCGCTGACCTCCGGACGCACAGCAGTCGCAGCTTCTGGATGCTGGCACTAGTCGGGCGCGTACCCCCTATTTCGCTCCGCTCTCAGTTGCCGAGTGGGCCAAGGTGGCGGGTGGCACGAACCGAGCTTTGGACAGCAAGTGCAGCGGCCGGCCGCGCGCAGCTTCCAGGGCACCCCACTTTGTCCGCATATCTCCTGCCGGGAGTACAGCCGACCCACCTCCGCCGCTCGCCCGGGAAATCCGCTCCCGACGCGTCCGGGAGCCACAGTCCGGGGTGCGTGGCGCTGTTTGCTGGCTCGGCTGCAAGCGGCTCAGCTGCCGCTGGGCTCCGGGCCAGGAAGCCGATCGCCCGCCTCTCCGGCTGCAGCGGGTCCCCCAGGCGCAGAGGGCTTCCGTCCAGCTCCCTGGATCCTCCCTGCACAGACAGGAGCCTCGCACGGAAGTATCAGTCGTACGGGCGACGGGAGTCGAGACGCACCGCAACAGCCTGCACTCTCGCCCGCTAGGCGCCAGGCCAGCCTCGGATTCCGCGCGCCACCCGGCGCTCCCTCTCTTATAGGCGCCAGGCTCCCGGTGCGCATGCGTGCTCAACGACCTTCCCGCCCTGCTGCAAATTCCAAGGTACCGCAGGAGAGTCCCATTCTTCCTCCTTTCTCCTCTAATGCCCCAGGTGAAGAGGCCCAGGGCCGCCAAAGGCCGCAGGAGAACAAACAACTAACAATCCAGGCCTTTATAATAATAATGATAATGCCACCAAACTAATCCTGCTTCTTTAGTTTGCTCTGCATTTATTAACATTATCTTTAACAATCAACATTCCATTTGATTTCCAAAACTTCCCAAGGAGATAGAGTATTATTACCCAAACCCATAGAGTGGATTCTGACTCATAGTGATTCTCTGTATTGTTTTTGAGGCTGTACAAATTCTGTTTGTTTGTTGTTAAGTGCGGTGAGTCTATTCTGACCCATAGCGACCTTGAGGTTCGAACTGGCGTTGCAGTCCAGCGCATTAACCCACAGAGCCACACCAGGACAAATTCTGTTACGGGAGCAGAAAGCCTCATCTTTCTTCTGCAGATCAACTGGTGACTTTCTACGGTCAGATGATGGCTCAGGCATGTACTTGTCTTAGTCTCCTTTGAAAAAAACATGATTTTGAGGTCTATAACTCTGGTAGCGTAGTGGTTACAAATCGGGCTGCGAACCTTCAGGTCAATGGTTCGAAACTACCAGTCGCTCGGAGGGAGAAAGATGAGGCTTTCTACTCCCGTAAAGATTTACACCCTCGGAAACCCTGTACAGGGTCGCTATGGGTCGGAACCGACTCGAAGGCACTTAACAACAACAACAAAGCTAATATGAAAGTTTTCATAAAACTCAAGTGGGTATTTCCCAAATCATTGAAGCTTTGTAGCAAGTTTACTGGAATGCTGCCCCGCATAAAACAACAGTTTTCAGATGGATCAAGCATTTCAAGGAAGGTCTGTAAGGCTTGAAAGATAAATTCAGGGCAGCATTCAAGGTTTTGGCAACTCTTTTTTGGGACTCCCCCCAAAGGGGTAATCTTGATAGATTTTCCCCAAGAATATAGGGCAGTCATAGAGAATAATTACAAAGAACTTTAAAGAACATTTAAAACGGCATTGGTAAGAAAATGGCCAGGAAAATTGTATCACAGAATTTTCCCCACCAGGACAATGTCCCTGCCCATTCTTGGAGGGCAGCAAGGGCTGTCCGGTGAGAATATCCTTGGAAAACCTTACCCTATGCATCCTCCAGCCCTGATCTTGTCCCTTCAGACTTCTATATGTTCCCCAACCTCAAAGAACATTGAAAAACACTATTTGCGCTCTTCGAAGACACCGATATTTTTGTGCTGACATGGTGTAAATTGAAAAGCACAGAATTATTTGGAGAAGATTTGTTGCTGTTTAGTGCCGTTGAGTCAGTTCTGACCCTGTAGAGGGTTTCTGAAGCTGCAAATCTTTGTAGAAGCAGAAAGCCTCATCTTTTTCCCACAGAGCAGCTGGTAGGTTCCAACTACCAACCTTGTGGTTTGGAGTCTAGTGTTGATCCTTTAGAGCCACTACGTTCAGGGAAAGGTTGTTGTTGGTGGTTATGTGCTGTGGACTCAGTTCCGACTCATAGCGACCCTGTACAGGGTTTCCAAGGCTGTAAATCTTTACTGGAGCAGAAAGCCTCATCTTTCTCTCGTGGAACAGCTGGTAGTTTCAAATTGCTGATTTTGCGGTTCACAGCTTGATTCGTAACCACTATGCTACCACAGGAAGTGTTAGAGAGAGAGAGATGGAAACACTACCATCAGAAGTGTAGACACCTAGATGGAAGAGATGTTGAGAAACAATAGCTTCACAGTTTGGTCTTTTTGCAAAGGTATCTATGATTTTGTAGCAAAGATTGTTTTTTAACCTAATCTTATGTAATTACTTTTTAATTTTACAGAACATGATGTTGCTGTTCACATAAGCTATTTTCTCTCTGCTTCTAGCAGTTAATGTCCTGGCTGCAGCTGGTCATAGACCAGGGGTAGGGGGTGATTGGGGGTGCTTTTCACACTCCTTCCTGGTGAGGTTGACAAGAAGTAGACTCAGCAAACGTATCACACATTTGGTCACTATATAGCTGATCGGTGCCACCCTTTTTCTTTCTATGTTTCAGGACAGGGATGATGGATTCCAGCAGAAAAGTGCCTTTGTTCAGCAGTTGGCCTGAGTGTACAGAGAGCTGCCACCAAGGAAAGACACAGTTCAGACAGACCAGGAACTCCGCTTTGATGAAGGAGAAATTAATAGCCTCTCTCTTGGGGAAGCTGAGACAACAGGTGCAGATGCTATTAAAGCAGCCCAGATTATTTTTAAAGGACCGGATGCCCTTTCAAAGTTCTGGGAGGCAGAAGACCTGAATTACACACCCAGCCCTCCCAGTGGAGAATCATTGCCAATTAGGGGCCTCAGTTTCTCCATCTGTAAAATGGACCATAGCACAGGAGAACCACCAAGTTTCCTGTCCAAGTCGAAAGAGCACAAGGCAATTTTATCCAGAACAGAGAGACTCTGCTCCCAACGACAGCCATTGGATGTTTGTGTGTAGCTGAGTTATGGAGAGACTCCAAAATACTTGATGTTCTGCTACTCATCCAACAAATCAAAGAAAAAACCCTACCCTGTTCTCCACTGCTCAGAGGAGTCCTGTTGTGGCACTGTGGGTTAGTTAGTATGCTGGACTGCAAAGGCGGTTTAAACTGCAAGATCGGGTGGTTCAGGCTCACCAGCCACTCCTCAGAAACCCTACCCAGGGTCACTATGGGTCAGAACAGACTCAATGGCACATAACAATGACAACAATGTTCTTCACTCCTCTGTAAACACAGACTTATTTTTTTTTTCAATTATCCTTTCTACAGTATTGTACTTTATTTCCTTTTTTTTGGTGGGGGTGGGTATTTTATATACATTTAAATAATCTCTTTTTTCTTTGAAAGTTTTTGTTATGAATTGGGTGAAGGTTTACAGAGCTGATCAGTTTTCCACTCAACAATTCACACCCATTTTGTTTCTTTTCACTGACTGCAGTCCCCACATGGAACCTCCCTCCTCTCACTTCCTCCCTGGGTTTCCTGTTTCCATTCCTCCTTCCTTTCCTAAGCCTTCTGAACTTTGTCCTTGGGTAGATACTGCCCTTTGAGCTCAAACAGTTGATTTTTCTAGGAAATGCATACTTCCTTCATGTTACTGCTTCCCTTATAGACCTGTCTATTGTTTGGCTGAAGATTAAGCCATTAGATGAGCTCACTTCTGAACCTCAAGGACCATAATCTGGGGACTCCACCAGTCTCTCTACCCAATCAGTAAACCTGGTCTTCTTTATGCAATTCAGCATCTTATTTTTTCAATCAAAACCTAGTAAATTAACAGAGTCCGACTGTGGTGTTGCAGGATAATGCACTGGACCACAAGGTTGGTTTGAACTCCAAGGTCGGCAGTTTTAAATCCACCAGCTGCTCTTTGGAAACCCTATACAGGGTCACTATGAGTCTGAACCCACTTGAAGGCACTTAACACAGCAACAGTAAATTAACAAGCTACAATGTGAATAAATAATTGAATCAATAAATATACGCTGAGTGTTGACAATGTGCTGTGTCCCATGGGAGGTGCTGGGGAGTCATAGATAAACCTTTCCCTTCATCCAGAGCCCAAAACCTCTGGGGTAAAGCACAGAACCTGAGCAGAAAGACGAAAGAACTAAATAAGCGAAGACAATACACCGGACTGTAAAAGCTATACTTAGTGAGGCACAGGGTGGATCTAAGAGCATGGTCTGGGCATGGGAATTTTAAATGGCATTTCAAATCAGACCCGAAGGAACCATGGAAAGAACCCATTTTCTTAGAAGATGCTGTTGAACCAATTGCTGTGCACTTGATGCTGTCTCACAGCGCCCCCTTGTGTGTCAGAGTAGAACTGTGTTCCAAAGCGTTTACAATGGCTGGTATTTTAGAAGCAGTTCACCAGACCTTTTTCCCGAGGCTCCTCTGGCTGGATTGAACCTCTAACTTTCGTTAGCAGCCTAATTAACCATCTGGATGAGAAAATATGCACTGAGGGTTCATGCTAGGACAATCACTATGGTAAGACTTTTACAAGCATGGTCTCATTAAATTCTCTTCCTCATTTTACTGGTGAGTCTTCTA